AGACGGAATATGGGGAAAAAATAGGGGGGAAATGGAGGGAAAATGGGGAAAAATGAGGGGGAAAATGGGGGGAAATGGGGAAAAAATGGGAGGAAAATGGGTAAAAAAATGGGAGAAAAATGAGTGAAAAATGGGTGGGAAATGGGGGGGAAATGGGTAAAAAATAGGAGGAAAATGGGTGCAAAATGGGTCGGAAATGGAAGGAAAATGGGTAAAAAAATGGGAGGAAAATGAGTGAAAAATGGGTGGGAAATGGGGGGGGAATGGGAGAAACATAGGTGGAAAATGGATGAAAAATGGAAAGGAAATGGGTAAAAATAGGTGGAAAATGAGTAAAAAATGGGAGGAAAATGAGTGAAAAATGGGTGGAAAATGGGAAGGAAATGGGTAAAAATGGGGGGGAAATTGGTGGAATATGGGTAAAAAATGGGAGGGAAATAGGTGGAAAATGGATAAAAAATAGGAGAAAATGGGAAGAAAATGACAGGGAAATGGATAAAATGGGGAAAAATATTGGGGAAAAATGGGAGGGAAATGGGTGGAAAGTGTGAAAAAGATGGGAGCAAAATGGGACCAAAACAGGATGAAAATGGGACCAAAATGTGCCCTCAGTGTCCCCCCAGTGCCATCTCAGTGCCATCCCGGTGTCCCCAGTGCTCACCGTCTCCGTGTACTGGTAAGCGATGAATTTGCGCATGAGAGCGACGGCCGTGGCGCGCTCCTCGCCGATCTGGGGAGAAAAAGAGAAAATTTGGGAGAAAAAAGTGGAAATTTGGGTTCAAAAGGGAGAATTTGGGCAGAAAAAGGGGAAAATTGGGGGAGAAAAGGGAGAATTTCGGCAGAAAAAGGGAAAAATTGGGGGAGAAAAGGGGAATTTCGGGGAAAAAAGGGAAAATTCGGGTTCAAAAGGAAGAATTTGGGCAGAAAAAGGGAAAAATTGGGGGAAAAAAGGGAAAATTTGGGTTCAAAAGGGAGAATTTGGGCAGAAAAAGGGAAAAGTTGGGGGAGAAAAGGGAGATTTGGAGGAAAAAAAAGAAAATATTGGGGGACAAAAGGGAGATTTTGGGCATGAAAAGGGAGATTTGGGGGGAAAAAAAGGAGAATTTGGGGGGGAAAGGGAGAGTTTGGGGATAGAAAGGGAATTTTGGGCACAAAAAGGGGAGATTTGGGCACAAAAATGGGATCTAGGTGCCCCCCAACACCCACCTTGCACTTGACCGTCCAGAGATTGGGGTCCCTGTGAGGACCAACAAAACCTTGTTACTGACGGGCATCTGACCCAAATACCTCCTTTTTTCCCAAGTTAAATTCTCATTCCAAGGAATTCTGACCCAAAACTCCCAATTCTCCCACCCAAAAACTCACTTGACACCGGGCAGCAGCTGCTGCTGGGTGATGTCATCCGACAGCTCATCAGAGCCCCCGTAAACTCTGGGAAAAAGGGGAAAAAATTCCAAAATTTAGGGAAAATTGGGGTGGGGGTGGCAGCATAGGTGACAAGGGACAGGGGGGAGGGGACAGGGGTGGCACTCACGTCTCCCCCACCGAGGATTTGGCGTATTTTTTCATGTAGTACTCGCCCAGTTCTTCCTCTCGTTGGTCCCTGAGTGAGGAAAAATGAGGGAAAATTAGGGGAAGATGGTGAAAAATGAGGGAAAGTTGAGGGGGAAGGGAGGAAAAGGAGAGGGAAATGGGGAAAAGGGGGAGGATGGGAAAAAAATGGAGAAAATGAAGGAAAAAATGGGAGAAAATTGGGGAAAATGGGAAAAAAATTGGGGTGAAATAAAGGAAAAAATGGGGAAAATGAGAAAAATGGGGAGAAATGAAAAAAAATGGGAAAAATGAGAAAAAATGGGGAAAATGACAAAGAAACAGGGAAAATGAAAAAAATAGGGGAAAAATGAGAAAAAATTGGGGAAAATCAAGGAAAAATTAGGAAAATGAAGGAAAAAATGGAGAAAATTAAGGAAAAAATGGGAAGAACGGGAAAAAATGGGGACAATGAAGAAAAAAATGGGGAGAATGGGAAAAAGATGGGGAAAATGAGAAAGAAACAGGGGAAATGAGAAAAAATTGGGGAAAATCAAGGAAAAAATGGGGAAAACGAGAAAAAATTGGGGAAATCAAGGAAAAAATGGGGACAATGAAGAAAAAATGGGGAGAATGGGAAAAAGATGGGGAAAATTAAGGAAAAAAGGGGAAAATTAAGGAAAAAAGCGGAAAATGCGAAAACAATGGGAAAAACGAGAAAACGACGGGGAAAATGAAAAACAAATGAGGAAAATAAAGGAAAAAATAGGGGAAAATGAGAAAAAAATGGGGAAAATGAGAAAAAAAATGGAAAATGAAGGAAAAGGATGAAAATGAGGCAGAAAGGGAGATGAGGGGGGGTCCAGGGTCACCTCCAGAGGTTCTGGAGCCGCCGCGCTCCCGAGCGATCCTCATCCAGCACCACGTTGTCAATGTTGGAAGCTGAGAAAAAAAATAAGGAGAAAATCAAAATTTGGGATTTGGGATTTGGGGTGGGAATCGCAGAGACCCCCAGAATTGGGGGAGGGGGGGGTTCTTACCTTCGATCTCCTCTGGCCCGGGGACAAGGTGACGGTGGAGGATGAAGTAAATCAACAGCAAAATCAGGGAATGGGGGAAAATCAGGGGTTTTGGGGGAAAAAAAAGCAACTGAAAAGCCCCAGGCGAGAGCAGATGAGATGGACGGATGGATGTGGGGAAGGGTCATCAGGGACCCCCACCCAGAAAAAGGGATGGGGGAAAAGGGACTTAAGGGTAAAAGGGATTTAGGAACAGAAAAAGGGGTTTTGGTGGGAAAAGGAATTTACGGAAAAGGGGGTATGGAGACAGAAAAGGGGATTTGGGAGATTAAAAAAGGGATTAGGGGAAAAGGGTTATGGGGAAAGGCAGTTTGGGGGAACCCCCACGGCTTCCCCCTCCCCACAATCCCCTGGGGTGGAGAAGGCCCCCCCCAATCCACACCTTTCTCCAGAATGTCCTCGGCCCCATCCTCCCACTGATCTTCATCCTCGTACTCATCATCCACATCTGGGGGGGACACATGGGGAGAGGGGGTCAGGAAACTGGAGACCCCCAGAACCTCCCCAGAATCCCCCCAAATCCCCAACCCTTCCCTCACCGGCCTCATCCAGGATGAACCCCCCGTGCCGCGGTTTTTTGGCCGGGCGATCGTCGTCTTCCTCCTCCTCCTCCTCATCGTACTCTTCCTCCTCCTCTTCTTCCTCCTCCTCCTCCTCTTCCTCCGCCTCCTCCTTCCCGCTGCCCCCCCCGCGCTGCTCTTCAGCCTGAGGGGGGGTCCGGGAGGGGGTCAGGACCCCCCAAAAGACCCCAAATTTGCCCCCCCTGAGCCTTCGGCCTCACCTCGTTGTCGTCGCCGTCGTCGCTGCTGCGCTCGCTCTCGTCCTCCGAGAAGTTGCTGTCCTCGCTGTCCGACATGGCTGGGAGTGCTGAGGGGCACCGGGGGGTTCCGGGAGGAGGCTGGAGTGGTCTCGGAGGGATCTGGGAGAGTCCAGAGGGATCTCAGAGACGGGCCGGGGGATTTGTGGGTGTTCTGAGGGGCCTGGAAGGTCCTGGGAGGAGAACTGGCGGGAGGCTGGAGGGGGCCGGGGGTGGTCTGAGAGGTCTCAGAGGGTCTGGGGGTCTTCTGGAGAATTCTTGGGGTGATCTTTAGGATCTAGGCTGTCCTGAGGGGAGACGCGGGGGGTCTGAAGGTGCTCTGAGGGTGCTCCGAGGGGTCTAGGGACGCTCTGATAGATTCCGTTGCTTTCTCGCCGCCGCCGCCTCCCTCACCCGCGGGATCCGCTCCGCTCTAGACCGCGGCCTGGCCTGGCTTCGCTCTGACGGCGCCCGTGTCGCTTGCCGTGCCGCTCCCGGCGCCGACCCCGCCTATCCCGACCCCGGTGCCGGCCTCTGTCGCGATTCCCGGTCTCGGTTCTCCTCTGTCGCGATTTTCTGTCGCGATTTCCCGGTCCCGGYTCCCGAACCGCGGCCGCTCCGCGTCGCCCCCTCTGCTGGCTCTCGCGAGACCTCCCGCCCTTACTCTCGCGAGACTTTCTGCCCTCCGACGGCGGCGCAAGGAGCCCAAAACGCGTTTTTTCGGGAGGGAGGCATGACGTCACCCGCGCCGGGCCATGACGTAACGGAGAATCTCCGTGACCCACCCCCTCCCAGGACGCGTTGTGGGTCTGTTTCCCACGCTTCCCCCGCGACATCATGCACAAAAGAGCCGATATCGCAAAACACCGATTTATTTAACAAAAATCAAATGTTTTACCCCAAAATTTGTGAATCCAGCATCCAGCAATACCCTCCCCAATGCTCCCCCTTGCGTGGGGGAAGGTTTCACCCGCAAAATGCGCTGCTGGTACCATACTCAGTCCCCAGGAATACCCTGAACCTCCCTCCATTTCCCCGGGAAGGAATTTGGGGTCCCAAGACCCCCAAGAATCCCCCCAAAACCAATTGCCCACCAGGAAACGGGGGAGTCAGACCCCAAAACCCCTCTGAGACTCCTCAGACCCCTCTGAGACCCCTCAGGGCACCCCCAGACCCCTCTGAGACCCCTCAGGGCACCCCCAGACCCCTCAGACCATCCCCAGATCTCTCCAAGACCCCCCCAGAGCCCTCAGAGCACCCCCGACCCCTCACAAACCCCTCAGTTCCTCCTCTCAGGACCCCCCAGGCCCCTCTGAATCCCCTCCAACAACATTTTAGGGACTCCACCCCAAAAAAAAACCCCTCCAAAAACATTTCAATAAATCCCCCTCGATCTCCACCCCAAAAAACCCCTCCACCAACATTTTAGGGCCTCCCCCTTCACCCCCCCCCCCAAAAAAAAAAAAACCCCTTAGGGCCCCCCCGGCGGGGGCAGCTTCCCGGTGATTTTATTGGTGCCCTCCAGCAGGGCGTTGTGGATGTCCTTGGCCCCCGCGATTTGGGCTTTGATCAGGGGCAGGTACTGGGTGTAGGGCAGGGTCTCAGCCCCGGGACCCCCCTCACCCTTGGGTGCTGCGGGGACCAAAGCCGGGGCGTGTTTGGCGCTGTCGAAACTCTGCSAGAGGCACTCGTGGGCCAAGCGCTGCCAGGGGGGACAGGGATGTCACTCGGGGAGGGTATTTGGGAAGGGCATGGG